CTGCAGGGCTCCCTGTCCTCTTCCCCCCAAACACAGCTGAAACTCTGAGGTGGCAGCCATGGAGTTCCAAAACACGAGCTTTCCGTAGCAAAACAGTGGCTTACATTCTGTGCCCTGGCTGAAAGCACAGAAAGCTCTTGCATAGACCCCCCGAAAATATTGCTAATGGATCACCTGAACCTAACCGTGCCAAAAGTCAGTCATGCTGTCAATCAGTGTTCAATACTTGGTAGGCTAAATGCATATTTAAAGAGTCTGCCATCAGACGTGCTTTTCTGTATGTACAGCATTAGGCTTTTGTTGGTTTCTGTCTACCTCCTTATTTCCTGTACATCTGCTCAGGAATTGCCCTGCCCAACAGACAAGTGTGCCATACTGGCGCGTGAGTGCGTAGGCTGGCAAGCTCTAACGAGACGCATGCTGCTGAGAGTGCTGAACGCATGAAAGAAGCCTCACGCTGAGTGTTTCCTTCTGCAGTAAGATGCATGATGTATGGATTTGGGGATGACCAGAACCCTTACACAGAATCAGTGGACATTCTTGAGGACCTGGTAATAGAGTTTATCACAGAAATGGTAAGTCAGCTCTAGACAGTATGGTCAAACCATCCTCACAAAGACTTAGCTCTTCTGAAGGTTAATACCTCTGACTCAAGTACTGCATTATCCCAGGCCCAAAACCCTGATGCTAGTAGGACAATACTAAACTGAGACTCTGTTCTTCCAAGATTAAGGCAAAATTCATGCATCTTGCTCCATGTGGATTTAGAAGCAGTGTTTCAAGTCCTAAAGTAGCAGTTAAATTAGTATTGGCGTGAGGGAAATACATGGCTGACTTTAGGATTCACTGTGGGATCGCTATACATGCAGCTGACAAAAGACAAGGCCCAGCTTTGAAAGTCGGTCATCAGTTTTTTGTGTTCTCCCAGTGTCTTTACATGGATGGGAACATAGCTCTGTGCTACAAAAGAAATGCAGGCATCTGGGACCTGAAGCCATCTCCCTTTCCAGACATTTGGATACTGTGTGAAAGTTTGTTTTTTGAAAAGTTATTCCTACCGTTTGTGGATCTCCTTTCTTTTGAAAGGTTGGCCTTGCTTTCCCTCATCAAAGTGCCCTAAGCTGTTCTGTGATATGGGTACCTCACACTGCTTCCAAGTTCTGCCCGATGCTGTTCATTTTCAAGCATTCTGCAGGCTGGGTGTCCTACATGTAATCTGGCTTTAGTTTGATGTTATTACTGCTATATGTGTACAGTGGTATGTACCAGGTGTAAGTGACAAGGCAGCTAGGGACAGCAGAGTGACAGACAGTAAGTCCATGGTTTACTGGAAAGTTCTCTTGTGACTGGGATGATGGTGCCCAGATCCTGCAATTGCTTGCTTTTTGTTTATATGATGACAGGAAATAAAGTGGAATTGAGAGCTTAACAAAAATTTAAGGAGCAAAGAAACCCTGCTGATTTTCTTCTTTTCCTCTAACAGACACACAAGGCCATGTCAATTGGGCGGCAGGGTCGTGTACAGGTTGAGGACATTGTCTTTCTAATCCGCAAGGACCCCCGAAAGTTCGCGAGAGTTAAAGACCTCCTAACTATGAATGAAGAACTGAAACGAGCCAGAAAGGCCTTTGATGAAGCGAATTATGGATCCTGATTCTGTGCACAGGCTGCACGAGGCATTACTTGGGCACCTGCTGCCCAGAAGGAAGGCAGGCTATGTGCGTTGTCTGGAGTGGTTATTCATGATGGATATCACTGGTGGGATGTCTGCCCTTGCTCCCAGCCTCTTCTGAGAAGTATTCAAGCAGCTGAATGTTACCTGATTGTATGTGGTATACTTGTGTATTTTTATACTATTTTATGAAATGAGAAGAGAGCTCTAAAGATTCTTGTAATGGCAGGAAATCTGTTTGAAGTAGGACTGTGTTGAATCAGATCTGTAGAGGGATAATGATGGGTGATTCTCTACAACTATTTCAGTTATTGCTGGATATTCCTGTGACAGGAAACTAGAAAATGGATCTTTAACCAGATAAAGTCTTCAAGCCCAAATAACGATAGAAGTTCTGTTCTTTGCTCTGTGTGTGCTCTTTGAATAAAAAGTTTTAAGTTTGTGCCCCCTCCTTATAACTAAACTTACATTGATCAGTTCACACAAGGTGCATAATACAGGGTTTTTAGCACTTAAGTGGCTAGGAAGGGTGTTTTTTTCTTCTGTCCCAGTGGGCAGAGCTCTTTTGTTTTCTACCAATATTAAGGCTAGGAAATTGAAGTTAACCTATTCCAGATTTACTTGCGCTTGCAGCCTTTCCCTACCCCTGTTAGGCAGGTGCTCTACAATAAACCAGAGTCCTGTTCTTCATTGAGACACTCTTTTCTTAGTATTTCCTGGTGATCCTGATCTTGGGCAAAAAGCACTAACCACATTGTTCTAACATTACTTCATTAATACATGTTGGAGTTGCTGTGCCTTACCTTGCCAAGCAGGCAGAAATTGCACTTACATTAAAAAGGTTTCAGGACAGTAAGAAACATGTTCACCAGTCAGGCGTTTACTGTTACAGGTTACAGCTGTGCTTCTCCCTCTTTCTGGAGCAGCTCAGAGGCAGTAGGTTCAGTTAACTCCCCATTTCAAGTACAAGGATAACAAATGCTGAACAGCAATAATGCTGCAAGTGAAGGCTGTCCCCTGTAAAAGCAGCACACCAGAAAGGGTGTAAAACTGCTTCCTTGGAAAAGTGGCAGCATCCACAAAAGTTCCGCTGTGGATGGTAACTGACAGCAGCACTTGACACACGGCTGAGCAATAGAGAAGGGATACTGAGTAAGGGTACCTCAAAGTTACGGTTCCTGGACAAGGCTAGGTGAAAGGCTGAAGACTATGCAGCTGTTTGGAACACCCCTTCATAAAAAAGCTGTTTTACAAAACTAAAATAGTTACGTTCTTAGCAGAATTCAGGGTGTAAGTTACTGAGAGAACATTAGGGTTCTGAGGGTTTTACTTAGGCGTGGGGGAGAAATAAATTGGGAATTAAACTTGACACCTTTCCTCTTTACAGTCCAGGGTCAGACACCCATTGCTGCAAAAATAGAATCAATATCTGTGTTCTCAGTAGCTTCTTTCCACACAGGGCTAGGGCTTGCTTCCAGCAGCAGCTGCTTAGGGGTCCTTGCTGTGCTTGGTTTGACAGAGGCTGTATCAGCATTGGAACATCCTTCCTGACTCGGAGGCCCATCCTGGTAAGCTGGGAGGTTGAGCGAAGTACTGTTCTCACAGACCCCAAAAAGCTCTGAAGGTTTTTGCCGAACAGTCTTCAGAATACTCTTCAAGCGCGAGGATGATTTGATCCTCCTTCGACAGAACTGTGCCCCAAGGTACTGCTTTGGCCAGCGTGCATTTTGTGACCCGTATAGGAGGTATTTACGAACAGATGTTTTGACACAGCAGAGTTTTTTCTTCAAGCTTAAGGGGAGGAAGGTGCACAAAACATAACTTTATCAGCTGCTAAAGTGTTATTTCATTTGGGGTTTAGAGAGATTTGATTATTAGCCCTCTCTATCATTTTCCTTATCTAACCAAGGAGATAGAACAGCATGTTGTACAATAGTAGCCAGGGCATTATGAAAACAGATGACACCCTTTGCATCATATAATCATTACCATTAAACATGCACATGATGTAAGTTGCATTTTCATCCTCCTTAAGTATCTGTGCATTTGTTAGCCTTTTAAATCCTTTCACAAATGACTGAAGCTAAACAGAATGTTCACGTGGGAGTGTCCAGTGACCCCGTTTGAACTTTAAAAGAATGGGTTAGACTAGCAAAATATATAATGTTAAAATGTAAAGTGTCAGATCCAGAAACCCCACACCCATGCAAAATTACCTGCATCCTTGAGCCTCCACGTGGTGCAGCCGGTTGCTTTTCAACAACTTATTACGCAGAAAATAAGCTGCTGATTTTAATTTGTTGCCTTTGCACCACAGAATAGCTTTTCTGAGGGCCTCTGACAGTTGCCCAAACGATGTAGCTGTTTGGACCATCTGCACAAGAGATACAGTATGCTGCAATTTTGCTATACGAGAGGTAAGTGGTGCCAATTTTGCTTTAAAAGGCGTTGATGCAATACCCTGAAACAAAGAATAACAGAAATAGCTAGTCTTTTAAAAACATGCAGACCTGATCCTCTCTGCTGGAGAGGAGCAGGACACTGAGGTCTTTGTGAGAACATTCCTTATTTCCTAAGGAGAAAGTGTAAGAGCAGTCTTGTTTTGTGGAATACAAAGAGAGGAGGCAGATAATTAGAATTTGTATTCCTGTCTACTACCGACTTGCTCTCTGGTCATTTCACTTGACATATCAACAAATGCTCCAACTCATAAGCAGAAATTAGCAGTGATTTTCAGTGCGAAGATGCCATGCTGACTTGAGTTGTTAGACAAGAAAAAGTAAGGCAGGGAAAGGGGACGTTTTCAATCAGGAATATAATGTTTTGAGTGTTAGGGTCTTTAAAGTTTAAAAAAAAAAACAGATGTAAAATGGTGCCATACAAACCTCTTGTGTGGGAGGTCTGGATGGTCTAAGTAGGCTCTTCACATCAAACCCCAGGTGCTTCCCTACAAAGCAAAAGGAGAGTTCCCATTATGAAGGAAAGGCGGTTTTAAGTCTTTGTGCAAAGACACAACAGCGCTTTGCCCTGCTGAGCTCTTGGACCTCTTGCCATTTCAGCAGGCTCACACCTGTATTCAACATCTCCAGGCAAACTCAAGGGGACTACGCTCATCTCGCATGGCAGCTGGCAAGGGATGAAGAGGATGCAGAGATTTACAGATGGCTGCAAAGGAGAACTTAATGGGTAAAAGCTTCATGCAAACACCTGGATGCCTCCAGTCACTGGCCATAGCTCTGACTGCAGGGGAAGACTTCGGCCCAGCCCAGAACCAGCAAACATGGGGTACTTGCATCCTGTACTTACAACTTTATATACTCTTGTACAGACTGCAGACAGTGCTCTTAGCTTCCCTCACTGTCCTTGGGCCCCATCTATACAGACGCAGGAAAATACAAATGACTTTACAGGACCTGTGTACCACATTCATTACCTACTTCTCTCCAGGCTGTATCATGTTTAAAACCAACGAAAAAAAACCCTCACAATACTGACATTATCTACAGCTTTATAAAGGCAAGGGCACATGTGGCCCAAGAACAGGAGAGAGGAGAACTGCACTCCATGGGTAGTAGAAGCGCTTGGCTGTGTTGGACAGAAGGTGCAGTCAGGCTCTGAGACATCAGAAACCAGTAGCACTGTGGCACAACAAGGCTTTACCTCTGCTGGCTCTGGTCACCAGGACTGGCTCTCCGATGTCCACGGGGCATGGGATGCTACAGTTTTTCACAGCATTTGTGCAGGTCAGAAAATGTCTCTTTTTCCCCACCTCTGACACTGCCTCTGGCATCGTTGGGAAGAGCTTCTTCAGCCAGCTGGTATGTTTTTTTGTTGTAAGCATTCTAGCCTTTTGCTTCTTTACCTCAGAAGAAACATTCACTCCAAGGAAGTTACTGATATCAGAAGGGAAGGTAAACCCCTTGACATAAGGCATCTGTTGGGTCTCAGATACCAGATGAAGTGATGTCAACACCATGCCGTACAAGGAAACGAGGTTCTGCAATACACACCTGTACTGAATCCTGAAGAGAGAAGACAGAAAGGTATGGAGTCTGCTCTAGCAAAACCTTGTACTCACAGAACAGCTACGTTCACTTCAAGCAAAAGAGCTGATGGAAGAGATTCCAAGCTTCCCTTTCCCTATTCCCCCTCAACAGAAGCTTGTCTTTTTACACTCCATCTCCATGCTTTCCTTAGTATTAGTATGAGTTTTAAGGAACTGTTCCAAGATCAGAATGTAGGAGTGACTTGACTAGTAAATCCCCAATCGGAAGCCCCCTCCAATTCCGTAGAGCTTTGCTGAGTGCCACACCTGGGTCTCATCAGGTTCCCAGGTGACATCCAAATCATTTAACAAGAGGTCTTTCCCCAAAAACAACCTGTACCAACTCAACGCAATGGTGCTAGCACTGACGCCGTATACTTGCTTGCTCTACATTTACTGGGGGGATCGGTTTCTTGTGCCAAAGAATGTTTTACCGAGTTCTTCTACACAATGCTGCTACTCCTTCAGCTACAGACAGCAGTTACTTTCTTGGTGTTGCTCTGCAGTACTGAGAGAGACCAGAACAATGATTTTCCTGGAAAACTCATCAGTATTCTAGAACAACTTTATCCCAGCCTTTCCATTTCAAAACGAGGCAGGACTTACTGCTTGCTACAACAAGTACCAGATGGTAGTATTTCTGGCAGGCTGGCATTAACACTGTCATTTTATTAGTGCTACACAAAGTTTGCTATGAACCAAGAACAAAGCCTTCCGGAACAGCACATAAGAAGTCTCTCTCCACTTACACAACTCTTCAGGTGCTAGAATCAAGTACAAAAGGATGGAGGGTCTCCCCTCCTCCTCCCAACTGAATAAAGCTCACTCAGCAGCAAGGACTAATTACAAACCCTTCTCCCTGACAGGCATGTCAAACAGACAGACAACAAACAAGACAGACTTTTGAATACACAAACCATAGCCGGCTCAACAACCCCGCAGCCACAGTGTTCAAAAGTATGAATTCTTCCGAGCAGAGATGTTGAACGGACAAGCTGAAGATTACACCAGTTAAGGATAAAAAATAAACAGCATGTAATGAGACTTGCTGAACACACCAACTAGAGGCAATTCACAAGGCAATATCCTGGATAATTTGGGAGTATCCAGACTTTGGGTTGCTCAAGGCTGGAACAGCAGCCAGCCAAGAGCCTGAGGTTCTTACATAACAACTTGAAAATAAGACATTTGGCTA